TTATGGGCATTATCGAAGACTTAATCCTGTAAAACTTCCAGTAAGTACTGAAGCAGAAGTTGGTATAAGCTTTGTATAAATGAAGTAGAATTCGGGCGCAGTATATCATATAAAAATGGGATGGGCTTATAGCGAAATTTGACAACATGTTAGTACTTTACTCATCGATTATGATTACGAAGTGCCCTTTTCTTAACCCACTCTGTCTGCTGAGGCCGATTGAAGTGCAGTGATATTATTTTAGCCGAGCCACGCGTAGGAAGGCTTGAGGTTAACTACTTTTGGAAACCGGATGTAGACGCACTTCGTTTGTTTCCTGGCGAAAGCCAGTGGTTTGAAATAATGCTTAAAAGAATATTGGACGTAAAATTTGAAAAAGGTAACCCACTTGAATCCATGAGCAGACGTATTTAGTTAGTTAGTGCAAAAAATTGAGTAAGAATTATCAGGTTCATGTTTTTTTCAAGGTCGAAGTAAGTAAGTAATTGTAATCTCTTCAACTTGATTTAGATGTGATAATTTCATTGTTTTTTTACTGTAGTTTTCACCTTGGCGGAGCCTTGTACAGCAAAGAAAATAACACTGTTTATTTCCTAAGTAAACAACAGGTAGTGGTGCGCAATCCAGGACACTGTATATAATCGTCTACTTTTTTAACCAGCCACTTTATGGATCGTTGTATGTATCTGGATGGCTGACAAAATATCGCAGTTCTTTGCGAAATCTTTCAATTCTGAATTTCGACTACCTTTGTCGTTTGTCCGTTCGCCAGATTCAGGTGGAGAAAAATTAAGGAAAGAGATGGGCTGGCAACGACGGGAGCAAGCGCGTTCAGTATCTACGTTCGATGCAAATAAACCTGCGTGCTCCAAATTGGTCCAGCCTATAAGAGCTACCTGTTTCCATAGATGCGACAATAGCTGCGATCACGATGCACATTCGGAGCTTAGTAAGTTTTGTATGCGTTTTTTACTGAATTATATACACTTACATCTTTTGATATAAACGACATGCTTATTCTAGTCTCGTTACAGTAATCTGAGGTACAAATAATCGTCTTAGTTTATCTATGAATATAATTGCATGCTTGGTCCTCATTCGGTGTTTTTTAAGTTTTGCTGTTTCAATAACCTTCAATACCAGCTTAAAGATTAATTAGAAAAGAGTTTCTCAAAGAGGGAATGGTAGCTGTATTAGTTTAGGTCTATCAGAGAGTGAGTAGTGAAAAAAAACAAATAATACGTAAGGGGGATTGAAGGTCAATCAGCAAACTAGTCATCGCAACGGCAATTAACCATTACAAAAAAGAAAAAATACTTGGCAAGCAGACTTGGCAAACGACCTTGCTAAAACAAACATCAACACGGTATAGGTCAAACCAGACAAATGCAGAGAATAACAAAAAAACGTGAAATTATCATTACAGTTTGCCTAAGGCCTCTCCGTAGCCACCCGTTTTGTTCACTGACGGTCGAGTGAAACGCACCCGACAAAATTTAAGCTCCCGTACCTGCATTCTTCTAACGGGATCTTCCCACCTTGCTTCAATTCGAAACCGCCACTTTGGTGGTGGACCTTCGGCGACCTGGTCTACACACGAGGAAACCAAACTAAACGGAAGACTCATGAAGAGCTTCACTTATCGTTAACCAGCTATATTCAACCATCCCAAAATGCAAACCGTTCTTGGCCACATTTCACGATTTCTTCCTTTTCACGCTTCCCATCCACTGCGTACAGCTTAGCGTAACCTATCAAACCAAGATGCGTACCTGATGCAAAGTCTGCTACGGTAAGCGTTAGTTAGTGGGCGCACGAATCATTGGCAGCGGCTTTGGCGCCCGTGAGGCACGTTCGCTGGCGATGGCCATCTGTTAAAGCTTATCGATGCAGGGGAATGGCTGATAAAGGCCGTTGGGTTGAGGCGTGATATCAAAAAACGCGAGCCAAAGACGTGTCTTGGATAATGTTGGCATCTATTTCGTTTGCTTCCTAAAAAAATTTCAATGTGTTTGTTTGCGTTCGCAAAGAGACCAGTCTAGAGTGTATTTCACACTCCGGTTTCCACGCTGTCCGATCGATAAGTGGAGCACATGAAGGAACGTGCAGATTTAACTACATTACGTAATAACTAACAGACGTCCGAAGCAGGATAATATTTTAGAAGAGGTATTACACATTCTGTTAGTTGTTATTGCACTAAGCACATTTATCCATGGAATTATCACGGGCGTGTTAGAACGTAAAACGCTTTTTTCACTACTCGGCGCTGAATGCCGAACGGCCATACACAGCGTGCCCGGTCCGTTCGTAGATTTCCCAGACCCTAGCAAAAGCTAGACGCTGTGGCCAATTTTGAATCGCCTGGGGCGTTTTTTGGTCCTAGTGTTAATTAGGTCTTAGCGAATTTAGACGAAGGCTGATCTGTGTATTCTGCGAACCGATCACATATTGCTTAAAAGCAATAAGAAATTTTGAATTTACGCGCGAGTCACGCATTCAAGAACGATGAAAATCACCCGCGCTTGATTACCCGGTTGAACTTAAGCGCGACCCAAATCGCACATGCTAAAGCCTGCACAGCACATCGTATAACTCTGAACGTTGTTTATAATATATGTGGCAACTTGACGCAAATTCGCTCGTCGGCAACGCTCATTTGGGATCAGCAGTTTTCCATAAATCCGCTATCCACAGTTCTTCGGACCGCTCGACAAATCAATCTGCTCCAGCTTTGCTAGGAGGTGGCTATTTGCCCAGCGTCTTTCGTACGAAGCTGATCTGTCCTAATGTTCCGTAGCCGCTAAGTCCTTACCTTATGAAACACTTTTGCATTGTGCCTATAGAGGAACTTCTGTCTTTTATAAAATAGTGCGGATAATACGTAGGGAAGAAAGTCCGCTAACGAGTAGAACGTTTTGATGAGCTGCCTCTAAAATAGGGGGACTCGTTCGTGACGGCTTGGTCAGTTTGACGGATATTCGTTTTTGTTATTTAAAATAAGATGAATCAAATTTGAGTATTTGGCTGATGGCAAGAAATACATAACCTCAAGTTGGTACCCGGAAGTATCTATACATGTTTAGTTAATCAGATCCATGATGCTCTCTAAAAGTGGTTGCTAATTATACGAATTCTGCTCGCGATTAGAAAATAAACGACAAAAAAGTAGCGGACTTCCGTTGGATTAAGAAATCTATGAAACTGCTTTTATACGTTTTAGCGTCGTCAGTTCCCAAACAACCCAGATGAAGCTGAAGCTATATATTTTAGACAGCTGATTTGGATGAATGCGTTTTCTTAGGCCATTTGGGAAAATCGAATTCATTTCTAAACGCCACCATAGAAAGCACATATACTTAACCGTAAAATATAATTATATGTTATCTAGACACTATTTGCGCTTAGATATGGTGCATAGGTGTGAATGAACCTCTACGCACTTGAAGAACTTAGCCCTAACATGTCCTTCACTTTTAGAGCCAGGCGTCTTCCAAAGCACGCGCAAACAGCCGTTATCATCTGTTCACGACATTTTCGCTGCGTACATGCACTCAACGGATCGCCGGAGCTAAGCAACGGTGTCAACCGTTAAAATGAAGACGATGCCTCTTTGTGAGCGCTCATTATTTGCAATATTTATAGATAAATCACATTGACAACGAACGCTTACGGCAGCATGTGGGTAATCCGAAGAGTAGTCAGTGCTTTTCGTTTGATATTGCTAAAATGTTGCCGTTATACGGTATGAGACGTAACATTAATGTTATATTTTAAGGTGGGGCTATTTTGTAACTGTGGAAAATGTGACATTTTTCTTCTATCTGAAATCTAAGGACGTTCACTCGGTTATCATCGCTCGGACTTTTAGTCGTAGTGAGCTATGGGAAAGTAGAAAATTTGATTGGGGGTTCCTTGCTAAGGTAGATAATGAAGGGCTGACTGCTGTGTCAAAAGCCTACTTATCTCAAAGAGCATAAGTGTTAGTGTTTACGCTTCCAGGAGGATACCATACTTGCTCACTTAGGTCAAGGTGATTGGATGGACAAGTAGATACAACATACTGAGAGCAATGAGCAGAAACAAAAACGTAAAAATGCTTGTTTATCTCTGCTTTTGCGCTATAACAGAAACGTACTTTTGACCCATCACGACTAGCGATCCAATATGGATTCGTCAAAACAACCGCAAGCGGTCGCACCATTTTTTTTGCACGATCTAAGCTCGACCTTACGCTGAGAGAATCATGGTGGCCAAAATGCGGGAATTATAGTTGGAGACTCTGCGTCGATCACCATACACGCCAGACATTAACTCCCACGAACTACCATTTTGTCAATATTTCGACAAATTTTTAATAGAAGCACTCAGTAATGTTTACATTGATATCATTGAGGCTACATAGACTCTCCTACCTAAAAATTTTACAGCAGCGGAGAAAATAAGTTACTATCTAAATGACAGGAGAACATGGATAATAAAAATAATCGTTCGATCAAAAATAATCGTGAGAAAAAGGGGCTCACCATGATACGTTTCATACTGAACGACCCAATGTTATCATTGATTTCAATTTCAAATAATCGAACTCGAAAGCGAGAAGCCGTTGCCGACTTGCAGCTGTCTCTTTTACAACCGACTAGGTATTCCTAGCAACGATTGGTCAGGGTAAGGAGCTTAATAGAGGCAATGTAAAGGGCGGTGCAAATAATGGCATGACTATACCTTCCCTATTGGTCATAATCCTCCTATAGGACAAATTCGAGGCCGTACCACTTCTGCGTTTGTCAGGTCAGTGAGCAAATGCGTTACCAACACAATATGGTGGGCACTTACACCATGTAATACAAAAGCATTTGTATTTACAGGATTCCGAAGTGTCGTTCAGGTAAGTCGCTAATTGAAGGCCAACAAATCCGTCACAGTTTTTGTATTGTATAACTTGTAGATAGATCTATCAAGTATAGGAATTATGACTGAAGAAAAAAGACAACTAGATGGAAGCATTAGGAATGCACTATTTTATTGAACATGGACTACATCATCGTCGATCTGATTACTCGCAACTGCCTTCACTGTATATTTATATACATAGAGATAGATATGCAACAGTGACAATCGATTGTGACGCACAGCGTACGCAAACTTCACCACATGACAATAATAGGCTAAACTAAGATTAATATTATTATATTATACATTTACGATGTCCCTTGTCTAACTTAAAGATAGTTGGCGTCGTCTGGCCTAGTGCGGCGTCCATCAGCGGTAAGTACGATTAAGGGTTTGATTTCACAGAGGTCTCCAGCATTGCATATTTACATACACAGCGAAACACTTTTCCTCCACGATTATGTTCCTCTATCAGATCCCGAAGATTCTAAAAAGGTAGTACCATTAGCCAGTAAACAGTGGCAGATTAGAACTGAGGAAGCGTTACACCAAAACCTGCGTGGACCCCCCCCCCCCCGATCATGAATCGCGCGAGACGCACTGACCAGACCAAACTCTACATTCACACGCGTTTCTACACACATCCGAACTTAGCAAGCACACCAGCGCCTATCGCTTCCGGAGTTCTGCTGGAAGAAGGTCATTAATATCCTACTTATTATAGCACATTTAAATTGGGCAGAACTTGAACAGAGCAGAAGCATGGCGAACATCGAAGTTACGCTCCGTCATTGATTTTTGGTGTCGCTGTTGTTTGTTAACGTTGTTACACTTTTAACACTCGTAACGATTCTTTGTTTGGAATTAATCATCTAATCTTCCTTTTGCTCGTTTTCCTTTTCTTCGACGGCGTCCATGACGGTTGGCTTAAGTTCGGAAGCCGAAGCGGACGCAGCAGACGACGCGGCCTTAGATGATTTTTTCTTGAGGTGGAACCTGCGCTTCTTTCTGCCATAGTTAGGTGTAATTGGTTCAACGGACTCCGAAGCTGCTGGCGTTTCCTTTTCGTCGAGTGGTGCGGGATGTGGCGGGACGTGCGAAACTACGGGTACAACGGGACCGGCATGAACTGCTGGCTCACCGTGGCCACCGCGCACTGGAACTACGGGGTGGGTGTCTACAGCGGCGTCATGTTTAGTACCCGGAACGGCTGTTACGACTGGAGCGTGAACGAGCTTCTTTTCTGACTGCGTATGGTGTATTGTGAAGTACTGCTGATGAACGATGCCGCCGTGGGCGTGGCCTATTGGGGCGTGACCCGAATGGCCATGGACAACCTCATGGGAAATGGGAACAGCTCCATGTACAGGGCCGGCGTGGGCGACAGCTTCCTGATGGACAGATACGACGGGCGCGGCGTGGACGGGCTCTGCGTGTACGATACGGTGCTGAACATGCTGTATTTGCTGAACTGCAGCGGGTCGGACACCATGTGTGGATACAGCTTGAGCATGAGTTGCCCCGTGGGGATGCACTGGAGCAGCCCCGACAGGGTGTGTTTGCACATGACGATGATGTTGTTGCCGATGATGATGGTGTTGTGCAGGGACGGCGGGTTCAGGCTCATGCTGCACAGGAACGACGTGTGCAAGTTCATGCTGTATAGGAACGACGTGTGCAGGGTCTTGATGCATTGGAACAGCGTGTGCAGGCTCATGATGCGCGGGAACGGTGTGCGGAGGTTCATGATTCACAGCATCGGCGTGTGCAGCCTCATGATGCGCAGGAATGACGTGTGCAGGCTCATGATGCACAGGAACAGCGTGTGCAGGCTCATGACGCACAGGAGTGGCGTGTGCAAGTTCATGATGCGCAGGAACAGGCTGTCCAGGTTCATGATGTGCGGAAACGGCATGTGCACGCTCATGAGCTACAGGAAGAGCGTGTGCAAGCTCATGATGTACAGGAGCGGTGTGAACAGGTACCGCCTGAATAGGTTCACGATGTTCTGGAACGGCATGAATAGGGACTGCATGAAGTGGAGCCGGCTGAATCGGTGTTTGGTGGACCGAGCCATGTTGATGCCTAGGATGTGTAAGCAAGGGCGCATGATGAAGGGTTTGCTTTTGAAGGAGCTCGTGCTCTTGAGGCAGGCCATTCTCAGGATGAAGGCGATGCTCTTGACGATGAGCCGGGATAGAATGAACTGCGGCGTGAACTGGGTGGGCTTGCTGCAATGGCACTTCGTGAACTGGCTCGTGGTGGACGGTTTGATCGTGCTGATGGTGAAGTGGTACCACGTGAAGAGGAACCTGTGATCAGGACAAAAGGACGTAAGTATTTATAAGCTCAAAAAACAAACTTACGATATCGCCAGCACGAGTGCATAGAATGCCGTTTGAGCAACTGCGATACTACGTGTTTTAATCTTACACTAAGCAAAAGAATTAAGAGGACTAGATGGAGGCAATAAGGATTTACAGTCGCTAATTAAAAACCGACCGTTAGGAACCTGCTAAGGTCGATTTGCTAAAATTTTTCCAAACGATTCCCCAACGGCTCAGAGAGATCAGGAGATAATTTAAAGCGTAATGAAGACAATGTTAATTTACGATGAATTAAGCACGATGTTTTGATATGTGATACACTGGATCTGCAGTGCTTGATGACCTATATAAACTATGCAACAGTAGTTTTTTTTATAGTGCAAGAAAGAACGAATCTTAAAATGTATTACAACACGCATTCTCGGCATCAGACGAAGATGTTTTTAAGAAAATCTTTCGAAAAAGTTCACTTAATTCGGTCGAGAGCTCTGACAGGGCATCACATCGAGGAAACAGATGAACCCGCTTTGACGTTCTGAACGCAGGTTTCGTGCCCGAGTTTAATTAGGAGCAATAAGTTTGCTTTACTTCAATAAGCGGAAACGCTCTTTTACATTATGTTTATGGTCGAAATTGGTTTGTACATGATAATTAGCCGGTTTGCTAACAATTATGTCGATCGGCCGAACAGAGTGGCGATTTAGATTCCTGTGTATTCGATTATGATAATACGCCCCGGGGTCGCTTTTTCAAGGAATTTGCTGTTGATTGTCATAACTCCGCAAAATTTCGCCTTTGACCATATGGAGACGGGTGTCTTAGAAAACGAGAAGTTCACTAAGCCCAAATAGGTGTCGGCCATCATCATAATCGGTAGATGCTTCATTATACCCCCCCCCCCCCCCAAAAAAAGAGGAACCAAAGCGGCTCGACGCGGTAATTTAAGAAAAATTTTTCAACAACGTTCTTTGTTCATACATTGTAAGATCTCATCTGTCTGGCTAATTGTTAACTTCTATTCAAAGTATCACCATAGTCTTAGTCAGGTTCCATCAGTTAGTCAAACAAATACACATAAGTTTAGAATATGTGCAAAATAACAGAGAAATCGCTATCCAGATACATGACTTCCCTAACGAGATGCGCTTGAATATATTAAAAGTTAGACTTTACCCTATGAAACTGAGGAAGAGGTTTGGGTTCATGGTAAGCGTGATGTTCCAAATGGACAGGAAGAATAGCGGGTTGGCGAACAGGCATTATCTCCTTTTGTAAAAGCAATGGAGCAGGCTCAATGACCTTGACTGCCTGCTGAAGAACGTGTTTGCCGTGGAACAGACCCGGCTTCTTGACGAGAGGTGCAAACTTATGCTCGCTTAAGTGCAACTGAGGGGCCGGAATTTCAACAAGACCGGCATTTCTTATGATAGTGGGCCCCTTCAGATCGGGGATTTCCGAGTTGAGTCCTATGTGTTTCTGAGGTAAAGAAATTACTTGCTTGTGGACAGGAATGGCGTGCGTGACTGGTCCCTCAATGTGGCCTGGAAAACTAAGAATAGATGCTCCGTAACCGATCGCTTCTTTGATGGGGAACCCACGAGGAATGTTCGATACCGGTTTCAAAATGCCGACATCAATACCCTTTACAATAGGGACCTTGAGGGGCAGTTTCTGGTGTCCTAACAGCGCTCCTAGTTCGGCAGAGGCTTTTTCCGCTTGGAACTCCTTGATTAAGGGGCCATCAAGGCGAAGCCCCTTTGCCACTTCTATTCCCTTAAGAATATCCTCAACTTCCGGTCCTTTAAGCGGAATGATTGGCATACCTCGATTAACCTTTGGTATAATTTTGAAACCTTTCCCGTTGAAGCTAAGCTCCTTCGATGTGTCGTAATTCTTAATAAATTTGGCAATGCTTCCGTCATCTTTTACGCCGTCGGTTGGCAGGAATGTGACCAGGTCACCACTTAAACCTTTTAGAGGAAGACCCTTAGCTATTAATGAGAACTTGTTTAAGCCACTATCCGGGTAGAATGAACCGTACGAGAATGAATCAAGCGTCAATAAAGGATCCGGAGCCCCGAAATAGAAAGGGTAACCTGAAAAGGATCGGGAACAGCGTTAATGCCAATTCAAAGCAAATTATTAGCCTTTCGCAGATGTCTAAAGTCGTTTAGTATGTAAACAATATTATACTGCAACAGCGATTGTGTAGCAAGCTATGGTTCTATCCTTCCTTTTAATATTACGACAAGTATGTACTTCGATCGACTCTTCGAAGTCTTGTCGTCTTTATCACGTCGTGGGTTTAGATTATGTATGCAAATCACATCATTCCGGCTCTGCTTCTTGTTCACTTCAATTCAGTCTTATCATTTAAAATAGATAAATCTATATCGCGATAATATCAAACACTGAGCATGTACAGCCGCTAACAGTCAAAATGCATCGTTTGTACGGTAGAGTTTTTTTTTCTTTGAAAAATACGTAACTCGTGCTAGCGAATTATCACGGCTCCGGGCAAATTACGGACGCCTCTTTCTACAAACGAAAAAAATGCCTTCGTTGCTTTAAGAGAGTGACTGCAATCAGAGCCATCCTTATTACTATAACATTCTGCTTGAAGTAATAACCGATCTGTTCAAGCACGCTTCTTTCTTCGTTGAAACGAGCTGGCGGTACTTAGAATAATTGCTAAGTTACTCTTTAAAAATGCTACAGTAGATATTTTTCATTTTCCTATATTATCCACCAAACATATTTGCTACGTCTTTAAAACGGCGCCAATGTTACTGCCCGAACACTAATCTGTGTAGGTATATTGTCACGTGCGCCACCATTATGCAGCGTGAATTTTTGTTAGTACAATCCAGCTAATAGTCTTTGAAGGCTGCTTCGAAGAGCGAAGTTTTTACGTATTACTTAAAACGACAAGCATCAATGGTAAAACATTATATTGCTATTATGATGTAAGCAAATGTTATGTCCTACTTATCTTCGGTCGTCAGCGGTAGGCCAACAGTTATTACGAGCTGCAGGTAATAAGGTTTCTTTTTTTGAATTTTTTAAGGTTGATCATACAAATTGCTCTACAAAAATAGGAAAATAAAATAAAAAAAATAAAAATACAAAAAATAATGCCTATTTTTTGTTACTCACCGGCATAGCACGATTCGAACAGTAAGATTCCGGCAAACGGTAAAATCAGGTAGACTCTCTGCAATCACGTTCAATAGGTCACAAACACAAAAAAAAATGAGGTTTATGTTAGCTAGTCGATACGATTATGAGATGTTTATTATACTCGAATCGGTTTTTTTTTCAAGTTTTTTTTTGGGTTGAACTGTAGGCATCACAACGTTTGCGGAACAAATATTCTAATGGTGTAATGTTTTATGACGTTGCTATGCCTTTCCAGATAGGGTAAAATTCTGATTTAATATAATACAAGTTACACAAGGAGACTGAACGAAAGTAAGATCTCGATGTCTATTTTACGTTGTCTAGATTTTTTTGCTAGAAACATGCGGCAGAAGACACAGGAACACATTTGCATCGTATCTGCTAAATTTAAAAATTGTGACTGAATTAATATAGAGAATTATCTAAACAGAATTCTGCCCCTTTCCGTGGAGATGGCACTGTGAGCGCACCAATAATTGCTTAGCGTTTCAATAGACGCCCTAATTCTTTAGTTGCAACGGGCAAATTAAACCCGGAATAAAGGTACAACCTTGACAAAATCAAAAAACCAAATAACGCTATGCTCGACCTACTTTAGATACTGATTTTCATAAGCCTTCTGGTATAATTTTTTGACAAATTTGCTTTGTTAAAAAAAATCTCTGCCCATCCGCTACTGCGATGACAAGTAGCATGTGGAAGGTATATTCGAAACGTTGTTTTCTATAGATGACATATTTAACTTTTTGAAAAATTATCGTGACTAATTGATTGAGTAAGGTGATATGCTATAAACGGCAGATTTGTTTGCCTTGGGGACCCAATTCGTACTCAAATAATCGCGTGTCGAACTCGTCTACTCTGAGATGTTGATAATTCTTTCAAACTGAAAAGTTTTTTTGTTAAGCTTTCTTTTTTTTCTATGGATATGTCTTCCGTGCTGTAGACACAAGATCGTCATTATAATCACTTAATCCTCGGGTCATCAATAACAAACAATAGTCCGCCTCTAATGCAAAACACACTTTGCCTTAACTGGTTGGTCAGCTCTGTTAAAATTGTGAAAAGATACCAGGCTGCAGTACAGCCCGTCTGAACTAGCCTAGAAGTAGCAGAAATAGACGTAGTAATAATGCATCGTCCTCGAGATGGTTCAGTAATAGCATGTTTGCCTACAAAACTCAGCGACACGCGGGATGCTCTAGGATCGAAATCAGGGGGTCAGCCGTCTGAAGCAACACCTAACGGCAGTAACACCAAACGTAAAACTCAAAACATTTATTTTTGTAATAATCCATCGTGCACAAATACAGCATTTTACGAGAGCCAATTGCAAAAAAAAAACCTAATCAGCTCATTATTTACATCATAACCGGCCTCCGACAACTCCGATTGAATTTCAGAAGTCTCCTTAGCCCTACTCCACGAGACCTTTGAAGAGGACTAGTTCTCACCATTTTGTCGGCGGGCGATCCACTTCGTGCACCACTCCCTCAGAGCAACGCGCACTCTCCGATTAGGACGAACGAGCGAGGCGACCAGGAGGGCGGACGACGAGGCAAAATTCTAGAGCGCGGCAGAACCTAACGCTTTGTCCACGCAGCGTCCTCTTTTAGTGCACTGTGCCCACCACTAGTCGTTGTTGCTGAGCGCCTCGAGAGACGCGTTTAGAAAAATACAGAAACAGAAAGAAAGCAGGACGCACGCAAAAGAACAAGGACACAACGACACGATCACAAGAGCACGAAACCACGAAAAGGAAAACACACCACGAACGGTGACGAGGAACGGACACGGATGCCACACTTAACGGGCGGTGCTTCTTCGTCCGCGATTCGATCCTCTTTGGCTGGTCGCTAGCGGGCGGCTGCGTTTTATCGGGCCCCTCCCCTTGCCTCGGCGATGCACGGGGATCCAAAGCTTCAGGCGGGCTGGGACCAGCCCCTGGCCTGGGGCCCAAAGGCCGACTTCGTTAGCGCCGGCGACAGGAACCCAGTGCGCGGTGCTCCTTGCTCTGGCAGCGCCAGCGGCGTCAGCAGCAGCAGCCATAGTAGCGATGGTAGTCCTGATGGTGACGGTAAATCAGACGACCGTGCAAGCACTCGCACGAGCGAAAAACGAGCCGCTGGATAGACCGGTGGACAAATACGCACACGCTCACATGACAACGGATAGATTCGCCACCTGCACCTACAGCAGCGGCTTCTACAGCCACAGCCCCGGCGAACCGAATAGGCTTTGTCACAACATCAAAATAGCAGACCCATGCGGGGTCCAGCGGCGGGACGGACCCGCTCCCGTGTCGGCAAGGCGCGAGGTGGTTTCTTCACTAGCGCACTACAGTTGCTAGGTGGATATATGCCCGTTTTGCAAGTAGCAGTAGTAATAAGGGTGGTGATGGTGAGCTTCAACAGAACTCAAACCGTTATTCATGTTACGCGTTCTTCGGCCGCCGGAAGCCATTGCCGGCGTCTGTGCTTTTGCGCTATTATCAAAACCAGCAGCTGTGCTTGCTACTGGTAGTAGCATAGCAAAACATCATCGTAGCTAAGCTGCTCTTCGCCTGTTTCGTTTAAGGCCAATAAAATGTCCTGCTGGAACGTACCATCGAAGCAGTCGTATCAATCATTCTTTGGTGTAATAGCTGGACGGTGATTGGCCTGTAGCGAACTTTTGGTTGAAAAGCGGTCTTTCAGCTTCGACGATCAAGCAATGCTTGAAACGGATAATACTGAATCCAGAAATGCACCGTAGTTGGGGCTATCGGTTGTAGTGAATCTGAAATAAGCCACCCGTCATTGGGTCGTCGGCTAGAAATTCGGTGGTCTCTCATATTAGAGGCAGCAAAGCTGCCGGTAAAGAATCGAGCCACGCATCTCGTATATCTGACAAACCCAAATGAATTCAGGATAAGCGAAAAATTCACACTTAACCCGTGTGACTTTGTAAGGGAGACCTGGCGACAGTTTTGGATGTGGAAACAGATATCGGTCTTTTACTTTGTAATCGCATCAAAAAATATCGATTCCATTAAAAAGAGCCAGACGCTTGTGACTGGCTATAGTGCTCTATTATCGAATCCCAATCCAAATACCCTTCGAACTAAACATTCTCATCATACTATTAGAACATCAATATATCTAATTCAGGTAATGTCTCAGCCGTCACCTGAGAATCAAATACAGGTCGCGTGTGTTAAATACAAGTGTTTTTGTTATTGTCCACTTGTTATGACGAGATATTTACTAGCAAATAAAAAGATTCAGCCGTTTCTGCACTACCTCTTACTTCCTATTGCTCCGAAGACAATGAAATTGTACTTGTATGTATGCCGGCTCGCACATATACATACATAAAGCCAGACTAGTATTTTATATTGAAGTAGACCATTTATCTCTAGCACACTCAGTTGTAGCAGCACGCATACGCGAATATAAATAAGTATACATACATATCGACAACATATGGGTAGATGACCGTCAGTAGTTCGTCATCATGTGGCTTCTTCGCTCTTACTTCGACTTCAGCAAAATTTATAGCTAATAAGTACAAGTGAGAACGCCGGTCTCTTGAAGATTGCCTGTTTGTTGTTATAATCACTATTGTGATTGTTTACCATTTTTTGTTTCGCTTCTACACTTACTAATAGCCCTAGTTTCGGTATCTTGCGCATACTTTTCCAAATCATCTAGATCTAAGTGATTCATCGAGTAAGAGATTATATTGCCGTACTTCATTGAAGAACATCATTCGAACGCGCTAGGTAATTGTTTTCTATTATTAGACGTTTTGGTTGCTGATATTATTTTTCGTCATTTTACCGCTGATTGAAAGCTGTTCGCGACCATCGCACTTGGCAGCATTGAACAACCTTCGACTTGGCTTTCGATCGACAACACTTCACTCTTGATATGTTTTTTTTTTTTTTTTTTTTTTTCGTTTTGTGAGTTGGCGCATACACTTTATTGGTATCCCGCGCTACTCACCGCTGAAATCGTCCGCGGACGCGCCGAATTTTGCCAGAACAGGAAAAAAAACATTTGTCTATGATTCTTTTTGGGCATTCTTTTGATGGGTTGAAATCATCGTTGCTATTGTTGTGAACCCCATCGTCTATCCTAGTTCGCCCACGTGTTTTGGTAACTGATTGATGCTATTTTTCATAACGCGTACATTATCGAGCATAATGCCTGAGGTAAAATTTACAACAATAGTTACAGCTAGAGCTCTGACTCAGCTGATCACAGCTTTTTATTATTCAACGAGCTTCACTTGGGAAAACTCACCTATGGCCAGCCTAGTCGCGACACGGGTTTTTGCATAAAAATTTCTTCGTTATTGCCGGCACAAACAACAGACCATCAGTGTTATTTTCTCACACTTGTCTTTAGCGAATCCTTTATGTGCGCGTGTTTTCAAGGACGAACGCCCTGCGCAAATCCCCGATAAAAAATCTGTCAGGAGAGACATCAGCTGTATTACGTGCAGCCGTGTAAATTCGTAGTGCACGCCTAAGAAACACAGGTTCCGTCTTGTTTGGCCCCTAGCTAAAGGATGTCTTCAGATTGCTTGAATATTATGAGCAGGAGTATAGAAGAATTCGAAACAGAAAACACCTATAGAGGGTTCTAGCTCCTGTGAGGGGACGACATTTTTTCTTTTGTATGTCGAATTAATTTTGACACTTCTCCTTATTAGCCCAGATATCGACTTTTAATTTATAGGCATATTCTATTATAGGATTAAGAGAATTGTTCCTTTGGGGACCGATTAAGTAAACTAGTTTTGGCAAGGTGATGATATCACGATAAGTAAGTGTTCCTACGTTGGCGAACGTGCTTGTACCGAACAATGCCAGATCGCCTGCCTAAACAGCCATATTCACTGAATTCTGGTCGGATATCGTTAATCCGAATAATCCGAGGAAATTGGCTAAATAAGTTATGGATTTGAGCAAATCCGATAGTGACTTCATTGCCCGTCTGCTTGGCCAGCATCGCCGACCTAGACAGGATTTTTTTTATAGCATAGCTTGAAATAATTCTAAAATCATCAGAGCAACACTTGCCCCGATCATCTTAGTTGCTATATTACGGATGCTTTTAACCTTTCGTCGAATGTCACTTCTACCCGGACAGACGATGTACATAAGGCTTGGCGCTTATTCCACTAATGTTTTCATTGTAATGATTTCCTCCTTATAAATCCGGTTATTTGCGATGAGAAGGTGTGATAAATAATCGGCAACGAAGCTATACTTCGAAACTACAGAAGGCTTTACTCCGGCCTTTACCGAATCTAAGTGAAGTACAGCTGAGAATATGATTCTCTTGAGCCATCAAACGCCAGAAGTACATGTTTACAAATACCTGATGCCATAGATCTTTTGATTTGTCCCCTAGAAAACGGTATCGATTCTTTATAACCTTAATGCTGTGTTCATGTTGTAAAAGTCCGATTTAGTGTAGAGTATAGTTGTCTTTATGCTACGGAAACGTCTCTCCGTTGGTTGGCGGTCTGATGGAAACTGACAACGGAAACAGAACGCAAAGAACGCCCTTGGCGGTGACCAAAGTCACCAGCGGCTGTGCTAGTAGTTCTACAGGTAAAAGTGAAGTTTTCGCTCGGATATTCGATTTTATGTACTCGGTGTGGCAGATCGCTTCCACAGGTTTGGCCAGACGCGGGCTTTATTTCTACCATCAACCTGTAAAAAATTAGGCCGTTTGTGGACACTATACCTGTTAGTAACCAGGGCCTCTATACTCGAATCGCGTACAAACTAGCAGCGGTCTATTGCTCACAATTCAGGCTGCATATATATTAGTATCACTATTATGCATAGTTTTTTGTTGTACCATACATACATATAAATGCAGTTCACTATAGGTAGTCTCAGAACGTTTATGTCATCATCCACATTTATTCATATTGTTACGTATATCGCAAGAGAGCGCCTAATTATAACGTATTACTAATATAATAATAAATACTCGAATTATCTAGTGTAATATAATAAGACAGGGTGCAAATCTATCGTGAACATATGTGACGCTAATAATCGTCACCAACGGCCACACAGACACGCGAACAGGAACCGCGATACATTCGTATCATCGCTTATCTCTTTGCCGGTGGTAAGCATTAGTACATCTATATTCGTGTACGCACGTTTTCAGATTAATTTACAATCATCTGTTACTAGCTACGATAACAGCAACGTTACAGCTATAGTATCAGTCATGATCATTACTCTCATGTACCATTAATGAATAGAAAATAGAGAAGCCAGTATGAGGCTCAGCTTGCGAAGCTCCGCGCTCGATTCACGAGAGATACGCTCATATAGCATCGCTTGTGGCAGGTTGAAAGCTGCTAGGCATGAGCTCTCGAATCATGACTTTGGTTCTGGCGCCGCTCCAGGACAAACAGCCATGAAGATGCCCAGCAAAAGCTAAATTATTTCCATAAGCAGGTGTCGCCCCCACGTGTTGACATATGTAAGCGTTTCACTGATCTACGTGAAAATAATGGAGTTTCTTT